ATTAATTCCTCCCATACACAAGTTTTTCATTTTTTTGTAACCATGATGACTTTTTTCATCTATGTTTTACAATTTTCATGGTAGATAACTTTTACTTCTTAAATTTATTCCTAAATATTTGGTTTTTTTGCATGTGTAGCTATTGTAAATGGGATTTCTTTCAGTGAGTTATTCATTAACCTATAAAAAATCTGTTTTGCAACTCTATGCCCTACACTTTATTTATAAAATATTTTAAAATGCTTCCCTTAAGTTTGATCATCTTATTTCTGAGTTTTTCTCGTTACAATTTATATAATTCTTTTATATAGTTTCTTTTTAAATGACTTTGCCTAGTTTTGCAACATTTTTAGAGTTCTTATCTGCTTTATGGATATATGTTTTTGGCATAACTTCATTGCTAAGGTGGCATTTTTTCCTTTTTTTTTTCCTAAGATTTATTTATTTATTTATTTCAACGAGTTACAGAGAGAGAAGCAGAGAGACCTTTCATTTGCTGGTTCACTCTCTCGGGATGGGACAGTATGAAGCCAGGAGCCAAGAGTTTCTTCTGAGTCTCTCATGTGAGTGTCGGGGCCCAGATACTTGGACCATCTTCTGCTGCTTTTCCTCAGGCCATTAGCAGGGAGCTGGATCAGCAGTGGAGTGGCTGGTACATGAGCTGGCACCCATAGAGGACACTGCTGTCAGGGATGGCAGCTACACCACAATGCTAACCACTACTTTTTATTCTTTGTTTTGTGTTAATTTTGTGTTGGTTTTGATCTTATTCCCATTCTTTCAGTCATTTTTATGTAAAATTAATTTTCCTAAACTTCTAGGATATGGGGTTGGTTTGGTATGGTGTTCACATCTTTGAATTCTTTAGAATATTCCCTTCTCTTTTTTAAAAAAATTTTTTTTTGTAAGAAGCTCAAAATATGGCAAATTACTATCAGATTTCCTTGCTTTCCTCACCTCCTAAATTTTCATCTGGGTCATTGTTTCCCTTTGTTTCTATTATCCCTGTACTGTTCCACCTGGGCTCTGTTCCATGAAGTGTCTCCTAAGTGTAGAGTACTGCCCTGATAGGAAGCTGTGACTGGCTACCTCTTTGGAGATTATAAGACCCAGACTGCTTCAGCTCCTGGCCCTACTGTGGACTCCTTGAACTTACCTGCAACTGAAGTATGCCATGCTCACCCAGTGTGAGCTGCTCTAGTCAAACTGGCTTGCTAAGCCTTCAAATAGTTTGTTAATTATTTTGTACTTACCAGGTGTACTAAATGCCTCATTGTCTTGTCACTACCTCCCCTGTAATAAATACTAATATCACACAGATCTTGTAGCTACCCATTGCTTGTTCTCATCCATATTTTGTGGTTTTTGGGGATACTTCATGACCTGGCGATGTTATGTACTTTAGTTGTTTCTTTAAGATTTTTTTAAAAATTTTATTTATTTGAGAGGTAAGAGTTACAGAGAGAGAGAGGAAGACAGAGAGAAAGGGCTTTCATGTGCTTGCTCACTCCCCAAATGGCCACAATGGCCAGATCTGAGCCAATCCGATGCCAGGAGCCAGGAGCTTCTTCCAGGTAGCCCATGCATGTGCAGGGGCCCATGTGCTTGAGCCATCTTTTACTGCTTTCCCAGGCCATAGCAGAGATCTGGATGGGAAGAGGAGTACCAGGGGCATGAACTGGTGCCCACATGGGATGCAGCGCCACAGGTGGAGGCTTAACCTACTAGGCCACAACGCCGGTCCCTATATACTGGTTTTTGATTTTGCCATCTTTAGTTTTTTATTTATTTCAAAGAGGAATGTGAGCAATTTTAACTATATTGTCATTGTCATCATTCTGGAGTGGCCCCCAAACTGAAGTTTTTGGCAATTCATCACTGAATATAAGAAAAGATTTTCAACAAAATATAATTAAACATAGAACAATAGTTTGTAATGTTCTTCTCTCTGACAAAAAAAACCTATGTGGAAAATGAACACATCTTCTTCACTGAGAAAATCTTGCCACAAAAACAATCTTAGCTCCTTTAACTGTGTGCATAGTGATATAGTAGATTTACATTCTTGCACAGGCTCCTTACCTTGTTGTAAATCACTGACCAACAGTTCATGAACTAGCAGCATGTACTGATCTATAGACAGGTTTTAAGAAAAATTCAATATAATTTGCAGGGCAATTAGCTTAACTTAAAACTGGTTTTTCAAAGGCTCAAAGAATTCTAAAATTTGATTCATTGGAGGGTGTTTGGCGCAGTGATCAAGATGCTGCTTGGGATACCTACACTTATTATCAGAGTGCCTAGGTTCTAGTGTCAGCCCCGCTTCCTACTAAAAAACACCTGGGTAGGCAGCAGGTGATGGCTCAAGGATGTTGAGTTACTGTCACCTACATGGGAAACCTAGACTGGGCTCTGGGCTCCTGGTTTCAGACTGGTTTAGGCCTGGCTGTTGTCGACATTTGAGGAGTGAACCCACAGATGGAAGATCTGTCTCTCTGCCTTTAAACTAAAAATAAACATAATTTTAAAAAATCTGATTGATTACAGGCAACAAAGATAGCAAATAATATCACTGTTACTTTAAAAAAAATTCAACATTAGCTTTACTACAAAAATTTTGTGGTTCTACCATTCTAACTATAGAGAAATTTTAACTACAACTTTTATTTTGATCGACAAAATGTTTGGACACAGTTGTAGGTTGCATGTGAACCACAACAAATTGCTAAAACATTTCTGCTTGAATATTAACTTTGTGAAATACTGTGTTTTTGTAAGCCATGACACTGTAGGTGTATTATTAGTATAAAACAACTGCTTTTTAACTGAATTTAATGGCATTTACAATAATGTAGTTGTCTGGCCTTTGTTAGAATGGCTACCAAAAGCTTTCCTTTGATTCCATGAATTGGATAAAAAAAAAAAAAATCAAACGCTTATTTAAATTACTTTCTATTCAAATATTTGATGACACTGATATTTAACCAAGAGGTTAATATTCTGCTAACAAAATGGACACATTAAAATATATGGCTTTATGTATTTATAAAGATAAAGAAAACTTGGTATTAAAGATGAATTAATTCAGAAGAAAAAAATTCAAGCTTCACAGAGAGATATGTAATATACCTCCTTCAATTAAACCTGTCAAAATGTAATTTTTGGATAGCTTTCTTAAAATAACTCCCAACTTGAGAAACAAATATTTCTTTACCAGCCTTGCATATTCTACTTTCTGTTCTGGTTTCAATGATATTGCCAGAGTACTCTTGGTAGACAGTAAAGAGTAACAAGTATTTTGAAAAAAAAAAAAAATATATATATATATATTCAATACATCAATTTTCTTAAGAAAAATAATATCATTACTTAATTTTTTTTTATCAAATATAAGCTTTCTTTTTTATATCTCTCTTTGCTAACCAAAAGGATTTAGTGCAAACTATAGGACACAGCCAACAATGAATTAAAGCTGTAGATTTTTACCATGCAACAAAGGGGAAAACTGTACCGGGGTTTTTAGACTTTCTTTATATGCTCTATACAGTCTCCTCAGCCTGAATTTCTCAAACTTACTTAATACACATATAATCTCTAATTCCCAATGACCCTGCCAATTGGTAGCCTGCTGGCTTTATATACTTCACACATCATGCAACCGGTCACTACCTCAAATGGCTGGCTGGAGTGGCTCCAGTACTCGAGGCCAAAAGAAACCAGCTTTCCCTTGGTGCTTACATCTTCATATATATTTAGCGTGAATGTCAGTCTTTGAATAAGAAGTGCTATGTTAAGCATGGAAAATCAGGCACAAAAAAAATCATAACTGGTTATATTTTAGGTTCAATCACATGCTACAGCAAGAATTCTGTTCCTTGAACATGTTTCTCATACTTCTCATATACTAATAGTTGAGACAATGGCAGATGCTGGGTGTAAAAAGTAGAAGTCTATCAAATTTATGTAAATAATGAAATTTCATTATAGAATAAAAATATTAAGACAAGTACTAAAAACATCATTACATGACCAACTTTAATTATTTTTGCACACAGTCTAGTTAACGACTACGTGAAAGGTTTTCAATTTTCTCTCTTGTAAGAGTAAAAAGGGTGTCATGACAAGTTGTGAATAGGTAATAATATGTTCAAATAGGCATAATGCAAAGCATGTCAGCTACTCTATGTAGCTATATGGAAAGAAGTAAATGTATGGGATAATGCTTTTGATTATACATACTATCAAAAATTAACCCTCACAATAAACTGGTTAGGTAGGTGTTACTATTTCCATTGTACAGCTAAAGCAACTGAACTGAGATTTGGAGTGGGAAAATTGGTCAAGATCAAAAAGTTGGTAAGTGGTAAGCCATAAGGAATCAAAGCTCTGTACATTCAAAAGAAGTTCAAAGTTTGTTAATTTAATAATGTATATATTTATACTAAAGTAGTTTGGAAATGTGTATTTGGCAACATTTTGAAAGTTACATGTTTGTTCTGTGTTTATTTGAAATAAATAATGCCAACTTTAAAATGCTATAATTTAATTTTCTGCTAATGTTTATGAAACTTATAATTAATCTTTTTTATTTATTTATTTATTTATTTGACAGGCAGAGTGGACAGTGAGAGAGACAGACAGAGAGAAAGGTCTTCCTTTTCCGTTGGTTCACCCTCCAATGGCCGCTGCAGCCGGCGCACTGCGCTGATCCGAAGCCAGGAGACAGGTGCTTCTCCTGGTCTCCCATGGGGTGCAGGGCCCAAGCACTTGGGCCATCCTTCACTGCACTCCTGGGCCACAGCAGAGAGCTGGCCTGAAAGAGGGGCAACCGGGACAGAATCCAGTGCCCCAACCGGGACTAGAACCCGGTGTGCCACCGCCGCAGGCGGAGAATTAGCCTAAGGAGCCGCAGCACCGGCCATGAAACTTAGAATTAATCTTAAAAGGCAAAGTTTTAAAGCATCTCATTTAGGAAGAAAAACAATTAACAATAAACTTACTATCGTCCTTCAACAGGTTCAATGTCAAGGGTGTTAACTCCACTGCCATGGATTCTTTCAACATCTCTGTCTTTGTTTAACTCCAGTCCCAAAACCCTTTGGAATTTAAAAGAGGGGAAAATATATAAAACTTAAAAATAAGTAATTTAGTATGAAAATTCCTTATTTCACTATGATTATATAAAGTATAAAAACTATCAGAAATGCTTAAATTTTCTACCATACATCCTAAGGTATTCAGATATTTAAAGATCATACATTTTAAAACTATCAACAGTAGCAACAGTTACATGCAAAAAAAATCACCTGCAGCATTATCCTAATTTATTTGAAGATTTTATTTTATCAAGTTAAAAAGATAGACACTGAAACAAATTTTCATGGTTACTGAAAATAAACTTAACTGAGGACACCTAGTGGAGAAAAACTTAAATTACAGGATCTAAAAAAATTTCAAGACAAACATAAAATATATTAAATGCAACAATTAAGCATGCAAGGCCAATTTTCTCTGTTCACCAGAGCTCTGATGCCAAAAGGGGTGCTTTTTACCTGTCTTCTCACTTCTGAGCCATGGGCTAAAACATGGCAGTATGTGGTAGAACAGGCTACCTAGAACTTGAAGTTTCTGGCTAGAAGACCAAAAGTGGCAGTCTCAGAGAACTGGGAAATATTTAGCAAGATTACAAAGAGGAAAGAACTCCAGAAAGAGACTCCATGAAGTTGTCTATGAACTCCAGGACTCAACCGTGAGTGGGGCAGATATGGATCTAATACTGAGTAGCACACACAATATTCTAAAACCTGAACAGACTCAATGCACAGGCTGACCACTGAGTGCACATAGCTGGAGCAGGTCTGAAAAGGATTTCAAAACTGAACCAACACTGAAACCATAACCAATGAAGGCAGAAACATGCATCCTGAACCTAAATCTTTCTAACTGCTTATTAAACTAAAAATATCAGCATTCTCCATGGGATTGAAAGAAGACATAGAGTCTTTGAGTATTTAAAAGGGTCCAGGACATAGTCCCAAAATACTTTGCACCATGAAGAACCATGAAAATTTCAACTTGCACAGGGAAAGAAGCCGCAGATGAGATGATACAGGCCACACACATAAAACCTCAGATGGAAACAGTTCCTGCGAGCTAGCACCTCCTCGAGAGGCCACCTTCTGCTGGAACCCTGACTTGACCATGGGTCCCTACTTCACCCCTACTCAGCCTGAAGGTGCCCGATCGGTCATCATCCTAAATCCTGTCAGCAGCCAGGGTTTCCATCAGCAGAGGGAGGGAATGGGAGAAATTATTTGACAAGGACTTTAAGGTAGCCACTGTAAAACGCTTGAGCGAGCAAGAGGTGAAACAAATGTTAAAACAGAAAGTCTCAGAAAAGAATTTAAAGATTTAGATAAGAACCAAATGATCACTTGAGAAATCTTCAACATAAAATTATTTTAACTTAATGAATTCAACAGCAGATTGCAGAAAAAAACGGAAAGTCAGAGAACCTGAACATATAACAACTGAAATTACAAAAACACAGGGTGAAGAAGACTAGGGAAAAACAAAAGAACAGAGCCTCATGACCAGAGGAACAACTAGAAAAGGACTAACATTTAGTTCATCAGAGTTCCAGAAGGAGTGTAGAGGTAGCGATGCTTGCAAAACATTGGCATTACTCAGGTATTTCATAACAATGAAAATGTAAAGGATAAAATGTTGGAATCTGACCCAAATATAGAAAAATAGTATGACAATCAATCAAGGCACAGAAAGTATATACAATAAGGCAATAACTGTACAATAAGGGAAACACTGCTCAATCTACTCTTGATGAGTTTTTTTTTTTTTTTTTGTCTCTTACAAAGAAAGACTTTATCACAATTTCTAGTATCTTACTCTACAGTATACTAAATATTAGCTTCACTGGGGCTGGCTCTGTGGCACAGCAGATTAAAAGCCCTAGCCTGCAGTGTTAGCATCCCATATAGGCATGGGATCAAGTACTGGCTGCTCCAATTCTGATCCAGCTCCCTGCTAATGCACCTGGGAAAGCAGCAGAGGATAGCCCAAGTCCTTGGACCCCTGCATCCATGTGGGAGACCTGGAAGAAGCTCCTGGCTCCTGGCTTTGGATTGGCTCAGCTCTGGCCATTGCAGCCATTTGGTGAGTGAACTAGCAGATGGAAGACCTCTTTCTATCTCTGTCTCTGCCTCTCTGTAGCTCTTTCAAAATAAATAAGATAAATCTTTTGTACAAGTTTCAGCATGCAGCTTTATGAACTTTCACTGCTTTATAAGGTCAGTACTACCTAAACATTGAACCACTATTATTTAAAGTAGAATTAAATATCCCTTCACATTTCCATACAATGGAATGCTTCACAACAATGAAAAGGAATTGATACAGTAGATAACAGAGAAATTTCAAAATAATTGTTAAGTAAAGAAGCCAGACAAGAGAATAATTTCACTTACAGAAAATTCTGAATATGCAAACTAATCTATAATGATTAGGTGAATAGGGAATGGAGTGATGTGGAGTATCATAGCATCTCTCTTTTTCAAACTATACTATATATAGCAACTAAATATAGGACTTAAGCCACATGCAAAGAACTAAATGTGGAATCCTTTTCAAGCAAAGATTCTCAATTCTTGGGAAGCTTTAAAAAAAATCTGTGGGATAGGACAATGTAAATCAGATTCTCTGGAGCTGGAATTCTGGCAAGAATATTTAGATCGTGCAATGTTGACAAGAGTTATACTTAGCTTTGTTTTTTATATTAAAAGACTCTGAGAAACCCAGACCTTCCTGGGCTCACACATTTGAATTATTATTGATATTACAAAACTTCTAAGCATATTAGATTTAACTATAGGGAAAAGAGTAATGGTGCTTCTTTATTGAAGAATTGTGGAACTACTTGGTATAAACAAGCCACGCTATGAGAAGAAACTGATATATTTTGCTTGAGTTCATGCAGTCACAGGAATAAAAATCTCTGGATGTATCTGCATGATCTAACCCATCACATATTCATAAGTTAGTCAACCAACAAACCACTCCTTTTCTCCCTATCAAATTTATTAAAGATTTATTTATTTTCTTGAAAGGCAGAGTTAGAGAGAGAGAGATCTTCCATCTGCTGGTTCACTCCCACAAAGGGCAGCAACAGCTAGGGTTGGTCCAGGCTGAACCCAGGAGTTTCAACTGGGTCTCCCACAAGGGAGGCAGGGGCCCCAGTCCTTGGGCCATCTTCTGCAGCTTTCCCATGCTCAGTAGCAGGGAGCTGAATGGGAAGTAGAGTAGCTGGGAACCGAACCAGGGTTCATATAGGATGCAGGCATCATGGGTGGGAGCTTAACCTGCTGTGCTGCAACACAGCCCCTCTCCCTGTCAATTTAAACTCCTTTAAAAAATCATTAATGTTGGCATCCCTCCCCATTTCCTTTCCTATTATTCAGTTTTTTGAAGTCTTACTTGTATTCCCACTATTCCTCTGAAATTGCTCTTCCCAAGGCCATTAGTGATTACTGTGTTCGTTAAATGCAATTTAACCTTTTTTTTTTTGACAGGCAGAGTTAGACAGTGAGAGAGACAGAGAGAAAGGTCTTCCTTCCGTTGGTTCACCCCCCAAATGGCCGCCACGGCTGGCGCTGCACAGATCCGAAGCCAGGAGTCAGGTGCTTCCTCCTGGTCTCCCATGCGGGTGCAGGGCACAAGCACTTGGGCCATCCTCCACTGCCTTCCTGGGCCACAACAGAGAGCTGTATTGGAAGAGGGGCAACCAGGACAGAATCTGGCGCCCCGACCGGGACTAGAACATGGGGTGCCGGCGCCGCAGGCGGAGGATTAGCCAAGTGAGCTGCGGCTAATGCTTTTAATTCCTCATATTTATTGAGCGCATGTCATTCACACAGCATTTTCTTAAACTTCTACCATGTGCCAAACCCTCTTCTAGACACAGAATACAGGCCCTTTTTCTCTTACGGGTTAAGATGGCAACATGCTAATAAGAAAATATAAGATACAATTTCAGTAAGAATACATTGCATGAAGAAAGTAAGGCAGAGCAATGGGATAAAGAACAAAGAATGGGGTTAGAAGGCAGCACCAGACACATGTGCTAGCTCTCTCCTCAAACACTGCCTCCCTCAGCGTACACAGGAGTTCATCGCCCTGGTTTTCCTCCACACTTCTCATTACTCCTCTTCAGTTCATTTGCAGTCTCTTCTTCTGCCTAAAATTAAATATTGATATTGCTCAGATGTTTACTATTGAAGTACTTGTCTTCGTGCTTTACAACGTGAGTAGTGCCCGGGTGATCTCAACTACTCCTCGTGAGTTCATATATGACACGATATTAAAGAAATCTACATTTCTCCTGAGCATAGAACTCACATATGCAACTACGTCCATCACAGGTTCCTCAAAAATTAAAATTAAAACTTGCTCTCCCTTTGGAAAACTTTATCGAGTATGCTGCCAACATTCAACCTCCTATACAAGGCAAATACTTGGGAATCATCGATTCTTCCCTTTTTGTCACTCACTTGTCCATGGCTGGCTGATTCTGTTCTTAGCACCTGCCACACCCTTCCTGGTCCCGCCTGCATACATGGAATTGCAACAGTTTTCTAACGTGGCTCCCACTCTTGCTCTCAGCTTCAATCCACAAAACCAAGCAGAAAGCCAAACCAATAGCTGTCACCCTATTTCACTTTCACACCTTCACCGAAGCCACACGACTCTTCCTCATTTCGCTCTGCCCACTTACTCATCCTCCACTTTGTCAACAGACCTACCCCAATCCTCTGCTCCCATCACTGTGAGCTTTGCTCAGTTCCTGGCCCGCGCCTTGCTTTTAGCCTGCTACTTGGAGTACCACTAAAACCTCAGACCGCACAAACGAATGAAACTTCCGGGGATGGAAACTCCTTGGGGGAATTTAATAAGAGACAGATGAGTAAAACAAAACGGAAAAAGGTATCCTCAGTATATAAAAGGCATCCATTTCTGCAAGCCACAGAGAAGACACTAAATAGGACTTTTAGCGGAAGGAAAGTAGTGAGACGGCCAAGCTTGTGGCAAGGATAACAGCCACTGGTCAAGATTCCAACGGGCCCGTTAGAGAAATGAATAAGCTTTGCTTTACCTCCGTGTAGACTCTGCTCTCCGGAGGCGAACAGGGTCCTCTAAACCCACCTGTCGCGCGGACAAAAACCCCAGCATCGCGTTTCCTCACCGGTGTCAGAGCGCTAGACGCCGCCATGACAGAGGTCGGAGGCGGGGGCTGTAACAGCAGAACCTCCCATTGGCCAAGCGGTGGTACATCTGCCCAATGGTGAGCGCCGTTACTGGAAGGGCGGAGGGAGGCGGGCCGACAGCTCGGACGCGGTGGGCGGAGCCAGCAGCCGGAGCGCGCCTGAGCGTGCGGCGCCGGGGGTCGGCGGCGAAGCGGCCGGCATGGGCTCGTTGCGGAGGGTGTTCCGCGTCTTGTGGAGTTCGCTGTCCAAGGAAGTGAGGGAGCACGTGGGCACGGACCAGCACGGGAACAAGTACTACTATGTCCCGGAGTACAAGAACTGGAGAGGTGAGAGGAGCACGAGGCGGCGGTTGCGTAGTGCCGAGGGGGCGCGTCCGGGCGACCGAAACACCGTGCGCCCCTCGGCGCGTTCGCCCTGCCCGGCACCTCTGCTGCGGTGTCGGAGCCCCTGGCGGTCCCTGCGCCCGCCGCCGGTCCCCCGGCGCAGAGCCGCGCTGGCGAAGGACGCCTGGGTGTCGGTCCTTGCTGTCGGGGTCCCGGCCGTCGGGTTCGAGAGCGGCGGCGGCGGCGGGCAAGTGTCTTCGCTCGGCCCCGGGTTGAGTGGTGTCGCTGAAGAGACGCCTGGCCTGGCGCGCCTCGGCTTTCCGCTGGCGTTAGCGTGAGCCCGTCCCCGGGGCACCTTGGCTCAGGCGCAGCTGTCGCCTGACGGCGCGGGACAGGAACCCCCCAGAAGGCTCCGTCCCTGCTGCTTGTGTTCCAAGAGTGCGCGGAGCTCAGGGCGAGACCCGGGGCTCCGGGGCGGTGCCTCGGGGTGGAGGCAGTGCGTGCCGAGGAGTGCAGCGGGCTGTTGCGGGAGTGGGAGGCGGGCCTGTGCGAAGCCCCGCACGTTCTTAGCCTTCGCGACGCGGGTCCATCGCCCGGGTGCGGGAGATCGCGGGCTAAAATCTCAGCGCCGGCGCCCGATCGCTGAAGGTGGTCGCGAAGCACTTGTGCGTCGGCCTCCGTGTCTCCGCCTGTGTGTCCCGCTCATTTCCCTCGCAGGACCAGGATAAACTGTAATCAGTGATTTTTCACCCCTATTTGTGTTGTCTAGCCTTTTCCTGGAACTTATTTTAATTTTTTGGATTTGTTTCATGAAGGAGTTTCTGAACTCTGGCAGGGCAGGCAGTGTGTGTGTGTGTGTGTGTGTGTGTGTGTGTTTAAACCTGCAGCTGAAGCCTACAAAAAACCTGACCTGGTGGTTAAGAATTTCTAGACACATTGTAAGCGGAGAGAAAGATGTTTCTTTTCTACAAATTGTCAATAGTTGGGTTTATTTGCCATCTGCAGGTCTTTGGTGAAGTATTTATTCAAAGCTTTTGGCATTTAAAATGCATGTTTACCAATTTGTGTATCGTTCATTTCAGTGGGAATGCAATACCATTAAAGATTTAAATGAGCAAAAGCACGCCTGTCCCACCGTAACATGAATATATTTACTTTGACATGTTCTCAGTCATTTGTGTCTATGTATATTCTCTTACAGAACTCTAATTGCATTTTTGGGAATTTTAGTGAGGTGTAATTGACATGCAAGATTTTGCCACTGTTTAAGATCTATAATCTGCTGAGGTTTGACATATGTATACATGGATGAAGACATCAACACCATCGAGATCATTAACATGTCTGCCATCCACAAAAATTTCCCTGTGCCCCTTTCTAATCCACTTTATGCTGCTCTCTGCTTCTTGACAACCACTGAGCTGATTTCAGACAAAACAGATTGATTTGCGTGTTCTAGAATTTTATGTAATTTGATGTAAATGGAATTGTAGAGTATATATTCTGTTTTATTCTGAGTTCTTTATTCGGCTTAGTTATTTTGAGATATATCTATGGTTTTTTTTTTTTAATTTTTATTTATTTGAGAGGCAGAGAAAGAGAGATGGACAGAAAAGAGAGCGAGCTCCCGTTTCTGGTTTACTTCCCAAATACGTGCAATCGCTGGGGCAGGGCTTGCAGCTGGGATCTGGGATTGCAGTCCAGGGCTCCCACAGCGGTGGCGGGAATACAGTTACTTGAGCCATCATCGCTGCCTCGCAGGGTCAGGATGGGCAGGAATCAGGCTGAAGCCTGGAATCGAAACCATTAGGACAGTTCCTGCTCTTCATTCTTGTTTTAACGTGCACCAGTGCATGGATATACCATGATTTGTTAATCCGTTCACTTGTTCATAGATACTTGTCTTTTCCGTTCTGTTCTTTTTCTCCTTCACAGTAAGACAGAGCCTTGCTAGCCTGGGGCTGGCCTAGGCTGCGGCTGGAGCTGGAACTCTGCGTCTCCCAGGTGCATGAGCCATCACTGCTGCCTTCCAGAGTCTGCTCTGTTGGCAAGGTGGAGTTAGAGCACTCTGATGTGGGTGTGGAAATCTTAGCCACTAGGCTGAATGCCCACTCTCATTTTGGACTTTTGTGTTCATTAAGGTTTATTTTATTTATTTGATAGAGTTACAGAAAGAGAGAGGGAGAGACAAAGAGAGATCTTCCATCTGCAAGTTCACTTTCCAAATGGCCACAATGGCTAGGGCCGGGCCAGACTGAAGCCGGGAGCATGGAGCTTCATTCAGGTCTCCTGCATGGGTGCAGGGGTCCAAGCACTTGAACCACCTTCTGCTTTCCAGGCCCATTAGCAGGGAGCTGGATCAGAAGTAGAGCAGCTGGGACTTGTAGCAGCGCCTTATGGGATGCTGGCATCACAAGTGACACATTGACCTCTCATGCCACAATGCCAGCCACAATATGAGCGGTTTTCTTTTTTTTTTCTTTTTTTTCGGGTTTATTTATTTTTATTTTTTTATTTTTATTTTTTTTGACAGGCAGAGTGGACAGTGAGAGAGAGACAGAGAGAAAGGTCTTCCTTTGCCGTTGGTTCATCCTCCAATGGCTGCCACGGCCAGCGCGCTGCGGCCGGCGCACCGCGCTGATCCTAAGGCAGGAGCCAGGTACTTATCCTGGTCTCCCATGGGGTACAGGGCCCAAGCACTTGGGCCATCCTCCACTGCACTCCCAGGCCACAGCAGAGAGCTGGCCTGGAAGAGGGGCAACTGGGACAGAATCCGGTGCCCCTACCGGGATTAGAACCCGGTGTGCTGGCGCTGCCAGGGGGAGGATTAGCCTATTGAGCCACGGCGCCAGCCTTCAGTTTTATTTTTATAAGACTACTTCAGTGCATGAACGTGGAATGTCTTTCCATTTTTGGGGGGTGTTTTCTTCAATTTTTTTCATCAGTGTTTTGTAATTTTTATGGTAGAAGTTACTCACAGCCTTTGTTTTATCCTTAATTTTGTTTATGTGATGTGTCGGATTTATTGACGTGTATGATTGGAATCATCCCTTCGTCTGTGGGTTACATTCCGATTGATCATGGTATGTAATCTTTTTTATGTGCTCTTGGATTCCATTTGCTAGACTTCTGTTGAGAAATTTTCATTGTGTTCATCAAGGGTATCAGTATGTACTTTTCTTTTTCCGTTGTGCCCTTGTCTGATTTTGGTTTCAGGGGAATGTTGGCCTCCGTGGAAGGATTCCTTCCCATTCAGTGCTTTGCAGTGGGTTGAGAAGAACTGACATTACTTCTGTAAGAGTTTTGGTAACAGTCAATATTGCAGTCCTTTTGTTCAGAGACTCTCTGTTACTGATTCTGTTGTCTTTTTAGGTTTTCTGTGTCTGCATGGTTTAATTTTGGTAACTTGTGCATGTACAAAAATATATGTATTTTTTCAAGGTTTTTCATTTCCTTGATGTGTGGTTGCTTTGGTGAGGTCACTCGACCACTCCCCAAAGCAAGTGTTATGAGGGTTGCAGGTGCTCCAGCAGTGAATGCACCAGGTGGCTGTGTTGAGGGGCTTGTTGGGGGACCTCCTTTTTACCCTTTCGCCACCAGTGAAGGCCTCTGATGCAGGGTTGCTGTCTGGAGGTAGACTAGCAAGTGCTGTGTGCCCAGCTCTTCTTCATAAGGCCATCATGTGCCCGTGCTACGCAGCGTCTAGTCCAGGGCTCCCTTTCCTGCCCCACTCTAGTCTCCTTCCGAGGAGGGCTGGTGGAGGTAGTGCTTTGCCTGGCTGTAACACATCCAGAGGTTTAGCCTGCAAATGTCAGCCTGGTGGTAGCCTGACAGTGGGTTTCATTCCAGCAGCCAGAATGTTTCTCTCGCCTGCCCCAGATTGGGAGTTGTCTCTCCATGCTATGCTATGCTGCCTGAAGTTGGGGAGGAGTGATTCAGGCAACTGTTTCCTCCCTGCATTATCCATTCTGTCTTTTCTTACTGTTGTACTTAAACGAGTGCTGTAGTCTCTCACCTGGTCTCTCTGTTCTTGTGCACGGATAGCTGTTTAAATTGGTACCTCTGTGATAAGCAGAGGATCCTACTCAGCCACTAACTTGCTCCACCCTCTTCCCCTTCCTTTTTCATAAAGTGTTACTTGGTAGGGGCAAAAGAAAATTTTTGGCCACAACAGATTATAAGACTTTGGAGCAAAGAAAAATCAGAGCCTCAGTCAATTCTGTAGGCCAGTAGCTTCCCACAGGACTCTGAGAGAATTACCCTGGGAGAAGTGGACTTGCTGCTCAGGAGTCCTGCGTTTACAGCCCTTTCAGGAGGGAGTCCTAGGACCAGGCTATGGGCGCACTGGTGGCTTCTCCAAATTATTAACTAGATCCTCATCATTTGCCCCTTATTTTCACCTTGGGATTTTCTCAGGACTTCCTGTTTTATTATTTATTTATTTGAAAGGCAGAGTTAGAGAGAGAGATCTTCCACTTGCTGGATCACTTTCTAAATGGCTGCAATGGCTGGGGCTGGGCCAGGCCAAAGCTAGGAGCCAGGAGTGTCATCCAGATCTCCCATGTGGGTGCAGAGGCCCAAGCACTTGGGCCATCCTCCACTGCCTTCCCAACCACATTAGCAGGGAGCTGGATCAGAAATGGAGCAGCTGGAACTGGCACCCATGTCAATGCCAACACTGCAGGCAGCGACTTAACCTACTATGCCACAATGCTGGCCCCCAGACTTCTGATTTTGAAAAACTCGCAGCGACTTAACCTACTATGCCACAGTGCTGGCCCCAGACTTCTGATTTTG